GGCTCCTTTGTGTGAGATGCGAGTGCAACGGTGATAGATGTCCCTCTAGAAAATGCGCAAAATATGCTTTCTGTGTCAAAAACATTATAATGCAATGACACTTACATCGTCATCGCATCCCTTGCACCACTGATAAGGCTGCCTCCTTAACACACACATAAATTTCTAAACACCTAAAAAATGTGGATTTTTATTTTAAATTCGACGAATATTCGAAATTCGAAATTTTTTTTGACAGCCCTAATGCCCAGTTTTTCTCTGAATTTTTTTACGAATTCAGCAAATGTATAACACCTAGTGTTCTGGATTAAAAATAATGCAGTGTATTTCATTGAGAAATAGCTTCTAGAGAGAAAATAGAGAAGAAGTTCTATGTGGCCTGATTCCAAACCTTAAAAACTGATCAGTCGATGAACGAACGGTCAGCGGTTTTAAACTTTCAGCAATTTTAAACCATCAGCAGCTTTAAGGCTTTCATGTGCCAAATGCTAAGTGCTCAAGGTTAAATGGACACCTTATATTTTTATTCAGAAGAACTATGCTGAAGAAATATTCAAGTCACCTGAGGCTGTTCGCAGTCTTCCCTAGCCCAGGATGTGTACTCTAATGCAGACATAATGTTTGTGCTGTGATTATGCTAAGCAGTGTCATTATTAAAATTTGCTGTGTTGCTCTTAACAGGGTCACGCTTGCTTTCACCGGTGTCGGTCTTCTCGTAGTTCTGACGTCAGTCGTTGGCCTGTTTCCAAATGGAAGGTATGTCTTGGTCGACTTCTGAAGGTTTAATACCTGAAGCTGTTATGTTGTGATTTAAATGCTTGGTAATTGATTGACTTTGTCTATCTATGACTGTCTGTCCTGTGATGCACAAGTTTGGCTCAGTTGTGCTTTAAGTGAAAGCAGTGTAAACATTGATGTAAACTACCATTCAAACGCTTGCAGTCAGTAAGATTAAAATAGGATACCTTTCTTCAGCAATGATAAATTAAATTGATCAGAAAGTGACAGGAAAGACTTTAATAGTGATTTCTATTTCAAATAAATGCTGTACTTGTGAACATTCTATTCATCAAAGAATTCTGAAAGAAAAACGTATCCCCAAAAATATTACAACGCAAGGTGTTTTCAACATATGACTAATAAGAAAAATAATAAGAAAAAAATTGAGCAGCAAATCAGCATATTATAATGATTTTAGATTGAGTAATGATGATTGTGATTAAATAATATATATTATTGCGTAATTATGCTGAAAATTCAGCTTTACATCACAGAAATAAATGTAACTGTGTATATTAACACTGATTTCTCTAATGGGCAGAATGAAGAATTATCTCAGTGACAAGGTTCATCTGATGTGTTACCGGATCTGTGTAAGATCCCTCACGGCCATCATCACCTACCATGACAGGTACTGACACACAAACACTACCATATGCCAATATTAAAGGGGTCATATGATGTTGCTAAAAAGAACATTTATTTGGTGTAATGAAATGTGTTTATGCAGTATAAGGTTAAAAAAACACATTATTTTCCACATACTGTACATTATTGTCTCTCCTCTATGCCCCACCTTTCTGAAACGCGTCGATTTTTACAAAGCTCACGGTCTGAAAAGCGAGGTGTGCTCTGATTGGCCAGCTATCCAGTGCATTGTGATTGGCCGAATACCTCAAGCGTGTGACGGAAATGTTAGGCCCCTACCATACTGTGATGCCGTGTCCCGGATCGACGAGACACAAACATTAAAACCCATTACAAACGAGGCATTTGTTGCATCCAGTGGGGATATAATTATGGATTATAATGACTTATTCTGTCTTTTTGCGTGTTGCATCGTGCCGTGTAAACATAAAACCATGTCTGCATTTGTGATCGGAGAAATTACAAACAACAAGACACGGCGGCTGGAGTGAGCGGCTTGCGGCAACCACATGTGACGACCCCGGGCTGGACTCCGCTTCGTCCACGGTGAAAGCCGATCCATAGTGCAAAGTTGAAGTATTTCCTCAGCAGCCAGCACGGATCAGCTCTAGGCATGACGAAGCGAATATCGTCCTCTTTTGGAAGGCCAAACAAAGTAGTTTCGCTTTCACAACGATACACACAGCGTCTTTACAACATGGCGGCAGCAACAATACTACAGCAAGAATAAAAGTTACGCCGCCTTTCTTTGCATGAACATTTGGGCGGCGTTATGCAAATCTTCCCACATCGTGATGTAGATATGTGGGGGCGTGTTAGAACGAGCTGTTTTAGGAGGGCGTGGTTGACTCTTAACTTTTATAAAGAATATCTCTTTGGATTTGAGGCTTTAGTCTTTGCAACTTTACAGATCTTCTTTATGCACCAAGAGCTTGTAACACTCCAAAGAGAGAAGGAAAAATTGAAATCGCATCATATGACCCCTTTAAACACAATTAAAGATCTCTATGCCTGGTTTTACTTTCCATATTTCTTGGTATCCACTTAACTTTTTTTTTCCTTTAAGTGAGAATAAACCCAAAAACGGAGGAATCTGTGTGGCCAATCATACATCACCTATCGACGTCATCATTCTGGCCAGTGACGGATGCTACGCTATGGTAGTGTGATGTTTGTGTTGATGATTTAGGTGCAGTGTTGATATTGAATGCATTAACTCTGTATCTCTGTGTGAATCAGGTGGGTCAGGTCCATGGTGGTCTGATGGGGGTCATTCAGAGGGCGATGGTGAAGGCCTGTCCTCACATCTGGTTTGAGAGGTCTGAAGTGAAGGACCGACACCTAGTGGCCAAACGGTAACATTGCATTTCCCTCGCATATACAGCATTCAACTCCTCCAAGATTAACTTGCAGTTATGATTTGAACATTGCTGTTTGTCCCAATCAAACTGATTTTATTTTTTAGATTAAGTGACCATGTTGCAGACACAAGCAAACTGCCAATCCTCATATTTCCAGAAGGTGAGTGTTAAAACTCCTGCTTATATTACCATTTCGTACTGAAGTATATGAATATATGTGGAATAAATACACTGTTTTGTCATTTCTAAAGGAACTTGTATTAACAACACTTCAGTCATGATGTTCAAGAAGGGAAGCTTTGAGATCGGCAGCACTGTTTACCCTGTGGCTATAAAGGTTAGAAGTTAGAACAGCCTCTTTTTTCTGTTATGTGCTGGCTTTGTTGTTTATAAAGTGTTTTAAAGTCCTCTTGCTGTTATTTTGGCAGTATGACCCTCGTTTTGGTGATGCGTTCTGGAACAGCAGCAAGTTTGGGATGGTGAACTACCTGCTGCACATGATGAGCAGTTGGGCCATTGTGTGTAGCGTCTGGTACCTTCCACCAATGAACCGTATGGTGAGTGGTGAACCTTCGGAAGAGACATGCATCACTACATACACACTGCTGTTCAAAAGTTTGCGGTCAGTAAGAATTTTTAAAAGAAATTTATACTTTTATTGAGCAAGGATGCATTGATTGATCAAAAGTGACAGTAAAGACATTTATAACGTAAAGATTTCTATTTCAAATAATAGCTGTTCTTTTGAACATTCGAAGAAACATGAAAAAATAACCCCACAAAAATATTAAGCAGCAGATTTCAGAAAGAGCATTAGACACTGAAGACTGGAGTAATAATGCTGAAAATTCAGCTTTGATGACAGGAATAAATAATATTTTAAAATATACTAAAAAACAAAACGGTTATTTTGGATTGTAATAATATTTTACTGTTTTTATTGTAGCTTTGATCAAATAAATCAGCCTTGTGAACAGTGGTTTGTATATCTTTTCAGAACTCTGAGACTATTTTTGAGCTTGTTGGTCAATCATTCACTATGTGTAGGTGAGTTTTAAATTCATATTTTTACAGGAAGGGGAGGACGCTGTGCAGTTTGCCAATAGGGTCAAAGCGGCCATCGCTAGAAAGGGAGGACTGGCTGACTTGTTATGGTGAGTTCCCATATGAAAGAGTGCCAAACACAAGTCACTAAATAGGATGTGCACTGACATTTTGAAATTAAATGAAGCTCAAAGCCTTTGTGTTTTGCATGTTCACAGGGATGGTGGTTTAAAACGAGGGAAAGTTAAAGAAGTTTTCAAGGAGGAGCAGCAGAAACTTTACAGCAAGGTTTTAGTGGGCAGCAGCGAAGACCGCAGTCGCTCTTGAAGACACAGCTGTCTGCTTGACTTTGCACATGCTGCTCGGTGCTCACAGCGAGAGCCTGGACCCTCAGCGGATGCAGTGCGGCCCTAAACTGGCCCCTTCCTGAACCTGCTCAGACTGTACTGTAGAACTGAACTGATGAAGTCATTGTGAGTTGGTGGGAAAACTGCATTGCCAGACCCTCGGCTCACTGCTGCGCCTCAGGAGCTTTTGCATCATTGCACGAAAGTGTCTGTGGCATTCAATTCCTGGGCTGACTATGATTTCAGTTTGAAGTGAGAGTTACACATGGCATACTTGAGTGAATTTTTTTCCCCTTCACAGTCTGTTACAGTTTTGAATATTTGTGCTGTTACTATAATGCATGATGTCCCAGGAGAAGAATGAGTGGAAGAGTTTGAAGTGATTAATTTAAGCTTGTAAAAAAAAACATCAGAGGAAAAGTTGAAAGGATGGTGTGCGTAGAACTTTAGTGTTTGTAGAACTATGAAGAACAATATCTGTTACGTGTCTAGCCGCTCAGCGTTCATCTCCTCATGGCAGCCTCTCTAGTGTGCTGTTTGTTCTTTTGTTTTGTTTTTTTTAAACAGAGTTAATTTCTACTTTTAATTCGTACATTCAATCTATCAAGTTAGTAAAAAGATAATACTTTTTTCTCCCAGTTCAGATTTATGTATTTATTTATTTTATTATTTTGTCAATTGCGGGTTATTATCTCGCAAGTCTGCCTCTTTTTGTGATAATTGTGAGAGAAAATCCCAATTTTGAGGAAAAAAGTCAGAATTGTGAGTTAAATTGCAATTAACGTATTTTTTTACTCCGTTGTGGAAAAAGAAAAATTGCTGTGTAATACAACTTTTAAAAAATGCGGTTATTTTGATCACTTTTAACTGTCGCGAGACCTTGTCAAACGCGAAACGTTGCAACAGATGCGAAACATATTGATCGAACACTTGCGTCTAACGCATGTTTACTTAAAAACAGGAGATGGAAAACGCTTTCTATGTGAATGGCTCACTATAATATCGTGATAAATATTGACGATAATTAGCCTAACATTTTATCCATGTACTCTCCGATACAGCGAACCTCTTATGTTTACCAGTCGAGCGCGTTACGTACTCCCAAGCGTACGTTTAGCTCACTTTACTGACTTATGAATTTGTGTAGTTACTGAAAAGTTATAATACAATGTCGTAACTTAATTTTAAAGCATTTTACGACCTCCCCACCTTAATTAGCACGTCGAAATGGTTTACAAAACATTTTATTTTCGTACTACTTTTTAAACGTGTCTTTGCGGCTTGATTCTACTTACCAGAAGGTGCAATCAGCTGAGAACATCATGTGCAGATGTTTAAGGGTGGTGCTGACTCCACACAGAGCCTCCTCCATATCTCTAAGCTACAGAAGAACTTTAAAAATACACCATAAACACGGCTGACCCCTTTAGTCTTACTGGCACAGGCCAGAGTAAACACAAACCAATTTTGTTGTTCTGAAAGGGCATTTAAATTGAAAGCTCGTGGCAGACAGATGGCATTTCGACTGAGTTTCACAGGTCCACCACCATGGGGGTTTCGTATCTGTGGAGGAAGAGACTTCAGGAGAAGCCTGACTGTCTCAAAGGTGAGTTAAATATATCTGGCCCACATTTTCTTATGAACAAAATATGGAATGTGTTCAGCATAAGATGCCTTTGATTTCTGGTGTGTTAAGGAGCTGTGAGGACTTACCATAGGGTGTTTTGTCAGGTTTGTGAAGATAGCCGGGCAGGTGATGCTGGGATGCAGGTGGGGGACATCATACTGGAGATTAATGGTCAGGATACTGGAGCCATGTTGAATATGGAGGCTCAGAACAAAATTAAGACATCTGAACATCAGCTGTGGCTTCTAATTGAAAGGTGGTAAAATAAAATAAAAAATATGACTTTGCTTTGGCAGAATTACATTGTTTCATAACTAAATGCTACATTCTTTACAGGTTTACCATGTTAAGGCATATTTCAACCCTAAATTACCCTAAAAAAAGACAAGTGTATTTTAGGTACCATGCAGGGGCTTGTTTTTTAATGCATTATTTTCACAAGCCAAAACTCAAATTACAATAATCTAAAGTTATTCACCTAACTGTTAGGCAGGAAAAAATATTTATGTATTATTTCATATAAAAAAACATTTGAATTAAAAAATTACATTTTTGTATTCGTTTAAAAATGAATAATTCACAATTACAATCAGCATTGAGAATAAAGAGAATTTCAATTAAAAAAACAATGCTATTTTCAAAAAAACACCGTAAACCCAGCAGACAGAAATATATTCTAGGAACCTTTCGCTAATGTTACTCTTATAAAAAATATTTCTATGAATGTTCAAAACATCCAGTTTGTTAAAATTTATTTTAAAATGTTTGTCTTGGTTATGCAATATCGTTATGGGGACATTTCATTTTGAATGTTCTGTGAACATTCTGAAACCAGTAGTAACATTTCTTAAACCAATTTCCAACTAAAATATGTCAAGAAAAAGCATTAAATGGCAATAAATAATGTGTTCGTAAAGACCAGATAACTTTGAACGAACATTCTATGAATATTTATATTAAAATATGAATATAATATTTTTTTGAGGTGAAAAAGTGAATGTTTTAAGTAGTAACATTTCTTAAATTAAACAAATTTCCAACTAAAATATGTCAAGAAAAAGCATTAAATGGCAATAAATAATGTGTTCGTAAAGACCAGATAACTTTGAACGAACATTCTATGAACATTTATATTAAAATATGAATATAATATTTTTTTGAGGTGAAAAAGTGAATGTTTTCCAACACTGGTGTGTGATGCTTTTTCACTGAAACCCAGAATAACCTTGTTTCTTATTATCTTACAGACCTGCAAAAACAGACGTCATACAATGCTGCGGTGATCCAAGACTTCCTGTTCATTCGGTTAGTTATTCACACAGATAACGGAGACCAGCTCTTTGTGAACATAACGTTAATGTTAAATGTTGCTACAGGGTAGGCCCATTCGGCTTGTTTGGATAAAACTAGTGAGAACTATCCTGTTTTGTGTATTGAAACTTCCTGCTGTTCTCCTTCAACCCAGGAGCCCTCAGTCCGGCCAAAACAACCCCATGTGTCAGGACAGGGCAAGTCCAAGAGGTCAGTGCACCAGAACCATACTGAGATGTCTTCAAACAACATCACGTGTTTCTCATTGTTCATGTGTTCAGAGCCCCACAGGAGAAAAACTACGGTGCAGAGCAGCTGATGCAACACGATAAGGTGGGAGCATACAAGTACTTATTTTACATTGTAGTAATGTTTGGCTTGAATTCAGGTTTGTACATTTAGTTTAATAGCATAAAATGGACAAAGGCTGATGTTCAAGTCTTTTGAAGTCTCTGCTGCCATCTTGTGGTCCAGTAAAAAAAAAAGCCTAATCTGAAGAAATAATATTTTATCCCTGTATATAGTATCAACTATATATTATAGTTTTTATTATAGTTTTAAGTATCAACTATATATTATAGTTTTTTTTTTAAATTAGATATTTTTTTCCATTTTCTCGTTTCATTTTCATTTCATTTGAATATATTTTGAAAGTGTTACTTTTTAGTTTGAGCTTATTTTGTTGCCTTGGAAACTAGCTAAAAAAAAAGTGATTTTATTTCAGTTAATGTTTATATTTATTTCCATGAAATCATTTTTTAACCTTGTTTATTGGTTGCAGGAGTCCACTGCAGGACCTAACTCTGCATCTGATTATATCCAAACAGTGTCATATGAATCGCAGACTACCAAGAAAAAGTAATACCAATATTATGTTTGGAATACTAATGTACTACTTACTGCGTACTTCACATTGTATGCATACAATTTTAAAAATATGCATACTTTATAGTGGTTCACATACTATATTTTCCTAAATGACATGATAAAATGTAATTAAAAAAAGCATCATTACTCCAGTCTTCAGTGTCACATGATCCTTCAGAAATCATTCTAATATGCTGATTTGATGCTGAAGAAACATTTCTTGACTATTATGAATGTTACAGTTAAAGGGGTCATATGATGTTGCTAAAAAGAACATTATTTTGTGTATTTGGTGTAATGAAATGTTTATGCGATTTAAGGTTCAAAAAACACATTTTCCACAGACTGTACATTGTTTCTCCTCTATGCCCCGCCTTTCTGAAACGCATCAATTTTTACAAAGCTCATCGGTCTGAAAAGCGAGGTGTGCTCTGATTGGCCAGCTATCCAGTGCGTTGTGATTGGCCGAATTCCTCAAGCGTGTGACGGAAATGTTACGCCCCTGCCATACTGTGATGCCCTGTCTGGCTGGAGCGACGAGACATTAAAACCCATTATAAACGAGGCATTTGTTGCATCCAGTGGGGACATAATTACGGATTATAATGACTTGTACTGTCTTTTTACACGTTGCGTTGCATCGCGCCGCGTAAACACAAAACCATGTCTGCATTTGTGATCGGAGAAATGACAAACAACAAGTGCTACTCTACACTGCTCAAAACTCGCGTTTGAATCATCAGTGGCAAATTCTTTAAATATGAAAACGTCATACTTACAGTCTGTGAGTCAGCATTATTTGTCAGAACACCGGCATTGTAGGCTACTCTCCCAGGAAACAGTCCTCGTCCTCCGTAAAATGTGTTGCACACACACAAATATTTGGGTTGAACTGTTCTGGAACAGTGTTGTAAATACAAATTAACCACTGATTTCTAGTCGTTACCTTTTTTGGAAGACCAAACAAAGTAGTTTCGCTTTCACAAGGAAACACACAGCATCTCCACGACATGGCGGCAGCAACAACACTACAGCGAGAATCAAAGTTACGCCTTCTTTCTTTGTGTGAACATTTGGGCGGCGTTATGCAAATCTTCCCACACAGTGACGTAGATATGTGGGGGCGTGTTAGAACGAGCCGTTTTAGGAGGGCGTGGACGAGTCTTAACTTTTATAAAGAATATCTCTTTGGGTTTGAGACTTTAGTCTTTGCAACTTTAGGGATCTTACCTATTCACGAACAGCTTGTAACACTCCAACGAGAAAGGAAAACTTGAAATCGCGTCATATGACCCCTTTAATATTGAATATTTTCTCTATTTGTTTCTGCGAGTTTTATATTCACATTTAATATGAATATTTTTGTGGAAATATTGATACATTTTTTCAGGTTGCAAAGAACGTCATTTATTTGAAATAGGAATGTTTTGTAACATTATAAATGTTAATTGGTTTAATGCATCTTTGTTAAATAAAATGATTAATTTCTTCCAAGCATACCCCGTGTCATTTTGTCCCATACCTGTTGAACTCACATTGCTGTTTGGCTCTTTTCTCAGGGTGAGTTTTAACTATCCAGTATGGAGCTATGGGCCAGTTGATCCTGAAGAGCTGATGAGAATCAAGCGAAGGCAAGTTCAACCTCAGCAGCCCAGACAGTCCAACACTTTCAGAATACTACAGGAGGGACTAGAACGTGAGTGTGTTTATTTCACTGCATTTCTTGCATTCAAACCTCTTGAATAATAAGCATAAGGATGCCTCATGTAATAAAAACACAGATGAATTGTACAGGGACATCACTGCCATCTGGAGCGGTCCAGCTGAGTCAAAGGTTTCGCACTTGTGAGAGATGTGGTTACATCATTGTGTAAGAACCCTTCGATTAAGCTCATATTATATATTACGTATTGTCTCAAGAAAGAAAAGTGATAGTGTTCTGATATTTTGTCTAAGTGTGTTTTAAGTATTCAAATACTTTTGTTCACGTAATGTTTATTATTAAAACCCTAAATGACAATGGAGATTCATTAGTAATGAATGATGGTGACTTGGTGGTTTGTTTACCAAACTGTGGAAAAACAACAGATTAATGTACAATTATGAATTATGAAACGAGCTAAATTTATATAGCACATTATATAATACAGATTCAAAGCAGCTTCACAGTAATAAACAGTGAAATAACAGTGTTAATGTTGCAAATATTCATCAAATGACTTTAATTTTAGTTGTAAATGCTTATTTCTTCGGGTTACTATACGAGAGTGAGGAATGTTTTACTTGCAGAAATGCCATTACAGTCTTTCTTTTTAGTTTAAACTCAAAAAGCAATAAAATGACAACTGTGTGTTCCCTTTTTTTTGTGAGCAATGAGAACTGGTCACTGCCAGCATGACAGTTCAGTATAATTGTAGCTTTGTGTCAGAGCTCTGCAGTTCTCTAATGTCTAAATTTAGTCATGGGGCATTTTAATTACACACTTCTGTTAAATTGTCATAACTGAAAGGAACATCATAGAATTATTATTATAGTCATTATAAAGCAAATACAGGAAAAACTGATTTTTTACAGCATTTATTCACGTAATGTTTATTATTAAAACCCTAAATGACAATGGAGATTCATTAGTAATGAATGATGGTGACTTGGTGGTTTGTTTACCAAACTGTGGAAAAACAACAGTACAATTATGAATTATGAAACGAGCTAAATTTATATAGCACATTATATAATACAGATTCAAAGCAGCTTCACAGTAATAAACAGTGAAATAACAGTGTTAATGTTGCAAATATTCATCAAATGACTTTAATTTTAGTTGTAAATGCTTATTTCTTCGGGTTACTATACGAGAGTGAGGAATGTTTTACTTGCAGAAATGCCATTACAGTCTTTCTTTTTAGTTTAAACTCAAAAAGCAATAAAATGACAACTGTGTGTTCCCTTTTTTTTGTGAGCAATGAGAACTGGTCACTGCCAGCATGACAGTTCAGTATAATTGTAGCTTTGTGTCAGAGCTCTGCAGTTCTCTAATGTCTAAATTTAGTCATGGGGCATTTTAATTACACACTTCTGTTAAATTGTCATAACTGAAAGGAACATCATAGAATTATTATTATAGTCATTATAAAGCAAATACAGGAAAAACTGATTTTTTACAGCATTTGTTATGGAAAGTTTGCGTTGCGCAATGTACGTTGCGTCACGCCAGGCCACGCCCACACGCCGGTGCTCAGGAGTGTGGGCGTGACTTTAGAGTGACGCTCTCACTTGTTGCTTCACTGGATTAACTTTTCCAGCGAAACATCAACAGACCTTTGACACATTGAAACTTCTCGCTGGGCAGGACAGCTCGCGCGTCCTGTTGACTTTTCAGTCCTAACTGAAACGAGTTGGGTTTTCACAGAAATGTCTCTGGCAGAGCAAAGCCAGCAGTGGTTTCCCACTAGCGTGCAGGTAACGGTGCTCCAGGCGAGGGGTTTGCGGAGCAAGGGGAAGAATGGCACCAACGACGCGTACGCCATCATGCAGGTGGCCAAGGAAAAGTTTTCCACCTCGGTGGCGGAGAAGAGCGTCGCGCCGGTGTGGAAAGAGGAGGCCGCGTTCGACCTGCCGCTCTTTCACCTCAGTAACGCGGAGCGCTGCACACTTCAGGTGTGTGTGATGCACCGGGCTCTGATGGGACCCGATAAAATGCTCGGACAGGCGACCATCAACCTCCTGGAACTCCAAGACAATAAATCCCGTAATAAAACTGAGTGAGTGAACATACTATTTTATATAAACAATAAATGTGTAAACTATATATATATATATATATATATGATCACATGCGCTGCCTGATAACTCATTTTCTCTTAGCGTGACATAAAGTCAAGGCTTGTCAACTGCTTCAGACTTCAAAGTCAAGAAAACACTTGGTTTTCTCTCTCAGTCACACATATAGAGGATATGCCTAAAATATGCTAAATGCCTCATGCTAATACAGAAGGCATCAGCCGTTTCTTTCTGCGTGAGTCATGACCTCATGCACTGACACTTTATACACAGTAACTCTTTCCTGATTCGAGGCAGAATGGGAGCACGTCACCTGTCTGCTCCGACTGTCACCTAACAAAGTTTCGTTTTTTTTGTTTGCAGACACTTTTCTTAATACAAAGCCTGTAATATTACAAGGAGAAATAGTGTTAACGCGCTGCCTGATAACTCATTTTCTCTTAGCGTGACATAAAGTCAAGGCTTGTTAACTGCTTCAGACTTCAAAGTCAAGAAAACACTTGGTTTTCTCTCTCAGTCACACATATAGAGGATATGCCTAAAATATGCTAAATGCCTCATGCTAATACAGAAGGCATCAGCCGTTTCTTTCTGCGTGAGTCATGACCTCATGCACTGACACTTTATACACGGTAGCTCTTTCCTGATTCGAGGCAGAATGGGAGCACGTCACCTGTCTGCTCCGACTGTCACCTAACAAAGTTCGTTTTTTTTGTTTGCAGACACTTTTCTTAATACAAAGCCTGTAATATTACAAGGAGAAATAGTGTTAAATTCAATGTCTTTTACCTCAGCAGAAATCATTCAAGATTATGAAAACCTGTATATTGAATCCATTATATTATCAAAACAAATATTTTGCCAGTTGGAAATCTCAACAAAAACCCATGGTATGTCACGCATGTCCAATTATCAAAATTGCTTTTCTAAGCCACCCACTCCATTCTCGCAGCCATACGCTATACTGCAAACATAAGTTTCCATCAAACGAGTCCTGCGTGCAGTTACCGCACCCTTGTGTCCTCATCTTATTCCTCTGTTTTTCATGGATCTAAGTTTGTTGTTCCTTACAGGCATGTTAGCTCGCCAGCCTAGACATTCATTTCTTACAACATTTAGCCTGGAAAACAACATGATACATCTCTCTTTGTAGCTAAGAAACAGCTTGCTCAAGGCTGTAAGTTGTATTTTGGACTTTTTAGATTGATAGACCTATTTTATTGATGTCTGAAGGGAAAATTGTTTTTTAATTTCTAAAAACACATTAATTTGAGACTTTCTACACAGTAGGTGTTTGTTTTAGACCCTAAAGTCTTTATCCACTAGTGTCCTTGAGTTATGACAACACAGTGTCTCATTGAACCTTAAAGGGTTAGTTCACCCAAAAATGAAAATTAGGCTGCGTTTTACTCACCCCCGAGGCATCCTAGGTGTATATGACTTTCTTCTTTCAGACGAATCCAGTCAGAGTTATATTAAAAATTGTCTTTGATCTTTCAAGCTCTATCATTTCACTCAGCGGGTGTTGCATTGCTTCAGTCCAAAAGACGTGGAATAAAAAGCTCCCTTCCATAAAAAAGTGTCTCACACGACTTGAGGGGGGTGAACAAAGGCCTTCTGTAGCGAATCGATGTGTTTTTGTAAGAAAAATATCCATATTCAAAACGTAATAAATCACTTGAATCTAGCTTGCGCTCACACTGTTGTAAACGGAAGCAGTTCCGGCGGAATGACGTACGAGGTCGGCTTTGTGCATGCGCCGCTCAGAAGTGATGCATGCAGAAACGCAGGGGAGAGATCAAAACAAAACAACGGTCAAGAATTAGAAGTACAAAACGAGGATTTGTAAAGAAGAATGTCAGAGGATTTCGATATAAGCCAAGAGGAGACTGGTTTTCCTTTGCTAAAGTAAGGAAACTTTGCTTCTTTTGATCCTGTAAACAAACGTTAGTTTTCACGAGACTCACTCAACGCTGACCTCATACGCCATCCGCCCGGAACTGCTTAGTTTACAACGGTGAGCACAAGCTAGATTAAAGTGATTACTACGTTTTGAATATGGATATTTTTCTTACAAAAACTCATCGATTCGCTACAAGAGGCCTTTGTTCACCCCGCGGAGCCATGTGAGACTTTTATTTTTATTTATTTTTTTTAATGGAAGGGTGCTTTTTATTTCACTTCTTTTGGACTGAAGGAATGCAACACCCTTTGAGTGCCATGAAACCGCTTGAAAGATCAAAGACAATTTTTAATATAACTCTGACTGGATTTGTCTGAAAGAAGAAAGTCATATACACCTAGGATGCCTCGGGGGTGAGTAAAACGCAGCCTAATTTTCATTTTTGGGTGAACTAACCCTTTTAATGTGCTGTTCTGGTTTACAGCCGTTGAGGAATGTCAACAATCACGTGAAACTATTTACTCGGACTTTGTGATCCCATAGCTTTGACTGCACAACAATCTTGTCATTTTTGCAGTTCTGAGCAATTTTGTAAAGTGTAGCTAAGTGACGCAACATAATCTCATATCTTCCATCTCATGTCTTGTTTCTAGCTTTCTTTTCTTTGATAAGGGAGGTGATTTGGGAAATGAAAAAAATGCTTGAAATGAAACATCCTGTGCTATTTGTGTTCATACAGATGGTTCAAATTGATGGGCAAGACGGGGAAGGCTGATAAAGACAGGGGTGAGGTGCTCCTAGACGTTCAGTTCATGAAGAACAACATGACGGCCAGCATGTACGACCTCTCTGGGCAGGACAAGTCACGCTCACGGCTTGGCAAGATCAAGGATAAGCTGAAAGGGAAAAAGAAAAATGGGATGTCGGATTCTGCTTCCGCCATTGTGCCTTCAGTCGGCCAGGTACTGACTGACAGTGAGGGAGAAGAACCTGACGCCACACCCGGAGCCAAAAAGAAGAATAAACTCAAGTCCCTCTTCACACCCAAGCCGGGTTTGCACCGTAACATTTCCCAGTCCATGTCCACACTCGCCACCCTGCCTGAAAAAGACTCACCCATCAGTCTGAGCAGATCGTCTGGCCTAAATATAGAGTCTCCTGAAGGTACATGCGATGCTGTTTGTTGTTGTAATATTTTCAATATTAGGGATGGATGATATGTCCGCTACCATATTATGTTCCTGCAGGTGCTAGCAACACCAAAGTCCTAGGTTTGATTACCAGGGAAATCATGAACTAATAAATATATGCAAGTCCCTTGCATCTGCCAAATGCAATGTAAATACTGATATCTTCTGATATTAATTATACTTTAATTAGTCTGGTTTAGTCTGATTTGGCTAAGGTTGAAATCATATTTATTTATTCACATATTTATTTATTTAAAAATTAAAACAGTAAAATTTTGCCCATGACATTAGAGATTATAAACAGTAAATCTAAATAAAACCATAAACAGCAAATTATTACAGTAAAGTAAAACCAGATAAAATAAATAAATGAACTTTAACTAAAATAAAATATTATATATATATATATAAGCTAGTTTTCAGTTAGTTTAACTTAACTGAAATAATGAAACTGAAATAAAAAATAAATAAAAACGACATACTTAAACTAAGAAAAATTACAAAGAATTGTTTAGCAAAACACAATTACTACATTACAAAATAAAAAAATATATTAAAAAAACTCAAAATATAATATCTCGATACTAAAATAACATGGATGTTAAGTTAGTGTTCGATGATGACGAAGGTAGTCTAAATGTAAAAATATGGAAAATGAGCATTATAAAATGACTGATAAATTACCAAAAAATTACTCAAATCTCCAGTATAATAAATACAGATAATTGCTGTCCAATATATTGTCCACCCCTACAAAATTAAAACATAACTAAAAAACTTAATTAGCAGAAGTTAGGGTCTGCTAAATTTGATAAATTGATGCAATATTTCAATAGCGCATAATATTATTGTGAATTTACTTTTTTTTTTTCTTCTTTTTTTTCTTCAAAGGCAAAAAGAAGTTCAAATTTCTGAAGCACAAGCGGACCGGAAGCTCTGACAGCAAGGTTTCCCAGGGTACTGGGTCTCTTGGAATGGGCATGGTGCAGAGCAACATGTGCATCAACGGCAGTCATGTCTACACAGAAGAGCCAGAGACCAGAGGATCCAGGGCCGGTTCCACCTTCAGCCTGAACAGCTCCGGCCACGGATCCATGGAGGACCTGCGCAGAGGTCATGACAGGAAAACCTCCAGCACCTCAATGGACTCCTCGGACCAAACTCAAGACAATGCAGTGGAAGAGATGCACAGAAGACAAGAGGAACAGAGGAAACATGAAGAGGAAGTCAGGAAAAGACTAGAGGAGGAAAGAAGACAGGCTGAAGAGGAGGAGAGGAAACAGATTGAGAGAGAACAGGAAGAGGAGAGGAAACGCTTGGAAAGAGAGGAAGAGAAGAGAAAGCTACAGAAACTGGAAGAGGAGAGGAAAAGGATTGAGAGAGAGGAAGAAAGAAAGAGGATAGAGAAGGAAGAAGAACGAAAACGGATTGAAACAGAGGAGGAAAGAAAAAGGATAGAGAGAGAAGAGGAGAGGAAACTGCTTGAGAGGGAGGAGGAAAGAAAGAGGATAGAGATAGAAGAGGAAAGGATTTGGATGGAGAGAGAGGAAGAGAAAAGGAAGCTTGAGAAACAGGAAGAAGAAAGAAGAAATGAGGAAGAGGAAAGAGAAAGAAAAAGGATTAAACGGGAGGAAATTATCAGAATAAAGAAGGAACAGGAACGAGTTAGACAGGAAGAGGAAAGCAGGAAAGCTGAGGAGGAGAGGATCAAAGAGGAGAAAAGGAAGAGAATGGAGGAAGAGGAAAAGGCTAGGAAGGAAGAAGATAAATGGAGGAGAATTGAGGAAGAGGAGAGAACGAGAGTTGAGAATGAAAAGTTGCAGAAAGAAGAAGAGACAAGAAAGTTGGAGATGGACAGAAGACGTGCTGAAGAAGAGGAGAGACTACTGAAGGAAAAAGAAAAGATGGAAGTAGAGGAGAAAAAGAAAAGGAAAGAAAAAGAAGAAGAAGAAGAGAGAAGACTGTCTGAGGAGATGGAAAGAAAAGAGCAAGAAAGGGTGCGACAGGAAAAAGAGAAGTTGGAGCTTGCGAACAAGAGAATAGAAGAAAGGATGAGAGAGGAGCAGGCGAGAAGAAAGGCTGAGGAAGAGGAGAAGAGGAAACTGAAAGAGAAAGCGGACGAGGAGATAATCAGGCAAGAGAAAGAAGAAATGGAAAGACAGAAGAAAGAGAAAGAACAGCAGCCCGAGGTGAAACCCAGGAGTGCTCGAATGAATACGAGTAAAAAAGCATCTGACGAGATTAACTCGGACCACATCCTATTCACCAATCCCTTTGAAGACGCCCTCTTATTTGATGAGAGCTCCACCAATCCCTTTGAGCAGCCCACCGTTTCTCAACCTGAAGCCCTCAGTCGGTCCACCAAAGTCTCTGCAGTCAAGCCAAGGTCAGTGTCTTACCTGAAAGCACGAAAGTTTGTTTTTAAATTACATCCATTTGGCCTTATTTATGAAACATCAACACATTTTTATGTAAATTGTTAGTGAAACCAGCTTTTGCCTAAGAATACAAATCGGTATTTGTTACATGATGAATTAGGCCCAAAAACACAACATTGAGAACAGATAAATTAAGTTTCAATGAAAGCAAAATACTGTGTGAGGTGTTAAAATCAGCCACTCAGAATATCTTTGATGTTTAATATACATCTATGAGGAGCACATTTTGGACCAATGGAATGTCACTTTTCATGAAAAGTTCTATTTATAATGTAAACAAGCAACCGTGACCAGTCAGTTGAATGCATTTAGCTTCTGTTTACTAATCAGAACCAAAAGGAAGCACTCCTTATTGATGAAGTTTGTGTTTTGACTGACTCTAGCAACTCTAAGAACTCTCAACGTTCTTCAGAACTCATACTTTTATCATTTCACAGAGCTGTTTCAAATCTTTCTCCAAACGTCTGCTTTTTTACCAATTCTGCTGGAAGGCAAATTCATGACCCATGATCATAGCTTGAATATTAAAGGCATGGACGTGTTTCTGTAGTATGCTTAGACTAACTTGATTTCAGTGTGGTAGGGTCCATAACACCACGCTATCGTGATTAACGCCGTCATGTAAGAGCATATGGCACTATTACTAAATATGCAGTAGTGTGTGTGTGTGTGTGTGTGTGTGTTGGTATGAGTGCGTGTCTGTACAAGTCCAAAAAAAACATCTGGCATGCAACGCAGTTCTTTTGAAACTATTTCAAGGACTCAAAGTAAGGGCAATGCACATTAACTTTTTGTTACCCTTTTATATCTACCGAGGTCAAAACCACTAAACACAACAAGGGTCCAGCACCAAAGCCTTCATTACAGTCAAAATCTTGCAAGACATCTGCATCTGAATCTGAAGCAAGCAAGCAAGCAATTAGTAATGTCCATTTGACTGAACATGAAACCAGTGTTGCCTCAAACTCTTGCATTGATCAAATAGATGAGTCGACTGACAAGCTTGATGCTCTTCCTGCAGATGAAGAGCCTTCTACCAAACCCGAGCACTCTGAAGGTATTGAGGGTGGAGAGAGTGCTGGATATTCAGCACTCTCCCCCCCCCAATCCCTGCCGGACCTGAGACTCGAACCCACGGCCTTCAGGTTACAAGCCTTCGGGTTACTCTCTATCCATTAGGCCACAACTCTATCCATTAGGCTTCAACTTGCCCCAGCACACCATTTCTTAAAAGCATTATAGGCTAAAACACATTGGGAAACACAGGCATGGAAGTTTCTAGCAAAACTGGACACCTTAATTATCTAGTTAGTTTTTTTTAAATTAGGCTTGGGAGGTAAACTCTGCATAAAGGATTGGCCACCCCTGTCCTGCCTGAATTGTTACTTCCTGCTTATGAGATGGATTACCCACAAAACCTTTTGCTTGGTCTTAAAATTCTCATTTGTTTTGGCCAACTGCATTTTTTCTTTGCACTTTAGGCAAGGAACATAAAACTCTTTAGGTAGGGAGGCATAAGTTACAATGGTTTCTGTGCCACAACTTGTGATCACCAGTTTGTGTAACTTATTGCTTGACTGCAAGGTGTGCATATCTGTTTACGATATTACACTCTGGACCCTAGATTACTCATTGTTGGGGCTTTCATGTGACATTCCACATAACTAGCCTTTCTGAAGAACATGGTTTGCAATGGTTTAAAATTTGTCTTTTCAGACTTTCAGATCATATGGTTGGGATGTTTAATTACCCAGTGTGAACTTTTAATTTTTGCATGAATTCTAAATCAGATAATTGAAAACCACATACAGGTGCATCTCAATAAATTAGAATGTCGTGGAAAAGTTCATTTATTTCAGTAATTCAACTCAAATTGTGAAACTCGTGTATTAAATAAATTCAATGCACACAGACTGAAGTAGTTTAAGTCTTTGGTTCTTTTAATTGTGATGATTTTGGCTCACATTTAACAAAAACCCATCAATTCACTATCTCAACAAATTAGAATACTTCATAAGACCAATAAAAAAATAATTTTTTGTGAATTGTTGGCCTTCTGGAAAGTATGTTAATTTACTGTACATGTACTCAATGCTTGGTAGGGGCTCCTTTTGCTTTAATTACTGCCTCAATTCGGCGTGGCATGGAGGTGATCAGTTTGTGGCACTGCTGAGGTGGTATGGAAGCCCAGGTTTCTTTGACAGTGGCCTTCAGCTCATCAGCATTTTTTGGTCTCTTGTTTCTCATTTTCCTCTTGACAATACCCCATAGATTCTCGATGGGGTTCAGGTCTGGTGAGTTTGCTGGCCAGTCAAGCACACCAACACCATGGTCATTTAACCAACTTTTGGTAGTGTGGGCAGGTGCCAAATCCTGCTGGAAAATGGAATCAGTATCTTCAAAAAGCTGGTCAGCAGAAGGAAACATGAAGTGCTCCAAAATTTCTTTCATCTTTGAAAATAAAGGCATCGATTTTCACATTTAGCAGTTCCTCCATGTTCTTTGAAGTTCAAAAATTCAGGGCCGTATGTATTTGTCATCCTTTTTCATTTTTTACAAAGCATGATATCAAAATTATGCACAAATGTCTTCTGGCAGAGTTCTGTGATTGACTGCTTTGTTTTCCACCCCTGCAAAATCAGATCTACCTATAAGACTTACAGCTCTCTTTTTCTTTTCAGACCCCATGCAGTGAAACCCCTGAGCACCACTGACAAGCAGCCAGACCTCCGAGAGACCCATGACGCTTCCAGATCTGCTAAAATTACAGATGACATGCAAGTTAAGATAAAGGTAGCATGAGCAGGGTTTTTTTCTGTTCTACTCTTGTGTAGCCATTTACCATGCGTTGAATAGAAATATGGCTGTTTAAGATGTTCTCAGCTGACTTTTAAGCATGCTATTTGTGTTCAACTGTATCTTTCAGGCCCCAGAGGCTAAAGGGACGGGACCGTACTCCCAGCTAACCCATGAAGAACTCATTAACTTGTTGGAAAAGCAGAAGCAGCAGCTTTCTCAGAAGGATGCTAAGATTGGGGAACTGGAGCTTTATATAGACAGTCTTCTGGTCCGTGTCATGGAGGAGAGCCCCAACATCTTAATGTCCTTGAGCTTGATGAAGAAGTCAGTTTGAGCACTTTTGTAGCAGAGTTTTGAATTTAGTGTGCACTGTAATCACAAATATGGGGTGAACGTCAGTGCATGGTTGTGGGTAAATCACAGAGGTTTACACTAAATCCAGTAGCTGTAACTGCAGACACTAGTGAGCCGAAGTACACTTGACATCTCGGGCTGAATGGTGACGGAATGATTGTTTGTTATTTGGCTTGCTTCAGATCCACCTAACCATGTGACTTCTTGTACAGTGTGACATGTAACTTCCATGTTTATTCTTGTACATGTTCAAATAAATAATATGTTAAGTATTTTCTCCAAAGGTTTTTACTGTCCACTTTTTCCATTTGAATTGCTAATATTCTTTGATTAGTATCATATCAGTTATAAATATAATCTATCAAATCGTTCAATGGATCATGCAACCCATGTTTAATAAGTAAACAAAATGGCACTACATATATTCTTGAAAAATGTTTTATACAAATTACAATGCTGTATGATATTTTGTAGACAGATCTCTGTATTGATACGTTTTCTTTTCAATTAAGCACTTTAAAAGAATCAGTTCATCTGTAAATAATGAATGTGATCATTTGTACTTTATGCCTTTTGTCATGTAAGCTGACAGCTTTATTATTCTCTGCTTTTGAAATAAAGAATGTCACAGGCGTGGCTTTATAAAGGGCTGTGTCACACGATTGTGTCTGTGTGCATTTTTAAGAATACAGGTTAAGCTTTAAATTATTATTATTAAAAAAAAAAAACTTTGAGGGAATGTCAGACGCTGTAATGGCCCATAACAAATATGTAGGCTGTCTTCACAGGACTCCTGACAATGTTTATATGCTGCAGTCCCCGTGGAATTTCAAAACACTGAAATTGGCCATGGTGTCCATAATTTCTTATAACTTGGTGGTTATAGCCTTAACTGTCATTTATAATAAAATGATAAAATGTGTCTTCTTACACTCTTTAAGGGAGCTCCCATGTTAATTTATTTTGGCTAGATTCCACTTATACCACAATTAACCTGATGAGAGAAGAAGAAGAAAAGCTAAAACCATGCTGGTTGGCTGGTGTTCAGCTGGTTTTAGCTGCTTGGTGAGCTGGTCTGCTGGCCTGACCAGCTATAGAAGTGGTCCAAATCCTTCTAAAATCAGCCTGCAAACCAGCTATGATCAGGATGGAAGAAGACCAGCTAAAACCATTCAACCAGCTTTTGTTTTCCAGCAGTTTTATTGTATTCTCAGTTATTTGATTAAACTCTTATTTTTGTAGATACTATAGGTTATGCAACTTGTATGCAACTAACATTTCCAAAATAATAATAATAATACAAAAATATTCAAATGATTAAGTCAGAAAATTATAGAAGAATATTACCATTTCATACCATGTTAAGTTTTATCTTACAAGTGGCCAGTATTAAACAACTGTCTTCTTACAGTGCTTACAAGCTGAATTTTGCACTATCAACACTGACCAGACTCGAGCTGAATAACGACACTACTGTCTTCTGTAGAGCTGCTTACAGCTGAATTGAATTTGTTTTATAATTGATTCATTTTACAGTTACTTAACCAAATCTGAATTAACACTGAACTTAAGCTGAATAATGACAACTATTGTCTTTTTAGAGTTGCTTTACACTGAAATTTGAACTTGTCTCATATTTGAAAGTTTGCATCATTAATTCACTTTTTTGTCAAGTCAAGTCAAGTCACCTTTATTTATATAGCGCTTTTAACAATACAGATTGTGACAAAGCAACTGAACACATGGTTGTAACATTTCTTTTTTCTTGATAATGAGAAAACAACTTTCGTTTATGTCGAGATCACGAGAAAATATTAAGTCATGATCACGAGAAAGCTTGCTGTCGTGTCCAGCAAGTGGATTTTTTTGGAAACAAAACTTTCTGGTATCCTAGTCTATGTCAGTGTTATTGTTGTGTGATTTTTATAGTATTATATTTTGAGTTACCCTTTGTTTTTATTTGTTTTTAATTTTAGTGTAAGTTTTAAGTTTATGTGCTTGCTTGCAAAGTCTCTTTGGGTGCGCTTACAACCACCCAAACTTTATCTACATGACCTTAACCAAGAAAGAGATCTTGGGAGGCTGTTGCGTACTCTCCGTCTGTGCAACTGGCCTGTTGCCATGGGAACCACTGGTTACCTGTTGGGAGTGGAAAATACGATATTGGGCGGCGTTTATCGAGAGTTTACAAAGGCTCTGAACATTGAGATCAGCACTATCGGCATCATGGACATGCTGGAAAGCTTCTGCTATGAGTATGTCTAACACTTTTATGACTTGCACAATGTCTTATTTGATGTAAAAGTCAGCTTGTTAACTTTCTGTGTTTTTTGTAGTTTCAAGCTGGGTCCTCAACAGATAGAGGTGTTTGCCCAACGGCTGGTGGACAGGACGTCTGCTTTGATTGAACTAGCCACTGATGCCTGGATAGTGACGGGCCGCCAGCCTTTGCCTCTCCTCATGGCAGCGGTGTATTTGGCCTGGCAGTCACTAAATCCTACGGTGAGGGACGGAATATTTTCGTAATAGTGTCATTAAGTGACTAACACTGAAAGTGAGACATTTGTGGTCCAGATAGCACACGTACATCTGCAAGATGTCCATTAAAGATCGACTCATAAAGCATCGTTTGTTTGCATGCATCTTACAGACGTCTGTAAGATGTCAGATTTATGCACATTCCAAATCATAAACACCTTAAAGACATTTTATAAATGTCTGTTTGACATCTAATAGGGAAACATCCTATAGACGTATTGCAGATGTGCAAACACTCTAAAAAATACGTCTTGCAGATGTAAATACTTGACTTACGTGACTTGTGACTTATGCTGGGTACACACCACAAGATAATCGGGCTGATTTTGGGCCGATTTCTCCCCTTCCGACAATCCTAGGTAATGTCCCGATTATCTTGGTGATTCTAAAGATTATCTTATCAGATTTTCCTGTGGTGTGAGGTGTGTCGGAGGTGCCCCGATCGCGAATCGTAAAAATTCAACATGTTGAATATTTACGATCAGAAATCCTGATGTGTGGGGGAACATCGCGGCACACCACGCACTATAGGAGCAAAACGGTTAAATCTAGGATTTTTTTGTCCTCATGTTTGTGATCTCTCACATTTTGAAGATCTAATAAGATTTAAAAAATCTTTTAGTGTATACCCAGCATTACATGTGCTATCATCAGTGCATTTTGTAAGACATTGAAATCTGACAAATGCATATACTGTGCAAAAGTTTTTTTTTTTTAAAGAAATTAACACTTTATTCAGCAAGGATGCTTTAAATTGATCGAAAGTGATGGTAAACACACTTATAAAGTTTCAATATATATATATATATATATATATATATATATATATAAAATTTCTACTCGGAATCCTTAAAAAAAAAAAAAGATTTTATGGTTTCCACAAAAATATTAGGTGGCACAACTGTTTTCAGAATTTAAACGGTCTGTTTTTCTAAGGTATTTAGATTGTATAAATGAATATAGGTAATCTTGACATTTTTATTTATTATTTTGAACTCAAGCCTCATCAATTCTAAAAACAGACATTACAAAAACTGTAAGGGACATGAAGGCAATTTCAAGCAAACTGAAAAACAAGGTGTGCAAAATAAATGTGTGAGATTAGTATGTATTTTCTTAATGGACTCGGAATCCTTAAAAAAAAAAAAAGATTTTATGGTTTCCACAAAAATATTAGGTGGCACAACTGTTTTCAGAATTTAAACGGTCTGTTTTTCTAAGGTATTTAGATTGTATAAATGAATATAGGTAATCTTGACATTTTTATTTATTATTTTGAACTCAAGCCTCATCAATTCTAAAAACAGACATTACAAAAACTGTAAGGGACATGAAGGCAATTTCAAGCAAACTGAAAAACAAGGTGTGCAAAATAAATGTGTGAGATTAGTATGTATTTTCTTAATGGATAAAACACATTTCTGTAAAAAAATTTGTGCTGGGCAATGATTAATCGCATCCAAAATAAAAGTTTTTGTTTATGTACATACTGTATATATATTTTCATATAATTTAAAATTTTTATATAAATACATTTAATATATAAACAATTTTTTTTTCTTAAATATACAGTGGGTACGGAAAGTATTCAGACCCCCTTAAATTTTTCACTCTTTGTTATATTGCAGCCATTTGCTAAAATCATTTAAGTTCATTTTTTTTCCTCATTAATGTACACACAGCACCCCATATTGACAGAAAAACATGAGCTCCATGATCATATGTGGAGATGGGAGAAAACTACAGAAAGACAAACATCACTGCAACACTCCATCGATTTGGGCATTATGGCAGTGTGGCAGGACTCAATTCTCTCTTCATTGTGGACACATGAAAACACACTTAGAATTTATAAAAAAGCAACTAAAGGACCCTCAGTCTGTGAGAAATAATATTCTCTGGTCTGATGAACCTCAATTCCAAGCATCATGTTTGAAGAAAACCAACTCTGCTCATCACCTGCAGAGTACCATCCCAAAAGTAAAGTGTGCTGGTAGCAGCCTCATGCTGAAGGGCTCGTTTTCAGCGGCAGGGACTGAGGAACTCGTCAGAGTAGAAGAAAAGCTCAGTGCACCAAAATATAGAGATAGCCTTAATGAAAACCCAGTCCAGAGCATTCAGAACCTCAGACTGGGCAGAAGGTTTACCTCCCAACAGGACAATGACCCTAAGCACACAACAAGAGTCAATTATAGAAAACTCTGTGAATGTCCTTCAAATATTCAAATCAAATATTTCTGGAGAAACCTGAAAATGTGCCTCTGCCCCCATCCAACCTGACAAAGCTTGAGAGGTGAAGAATGACTGATAATTGCCAAATGCTGATGAGCAAAGCTTGTCGCATCAAACAAAAAAGACTTGAGGCTGTAAAGGTGCATCAGCTAAATATTTACTTATGCAATGTACTTATTTCAGTTTTTTTATTTTTAATTAATTTACGAAGTTTTGACAATTCTGTTTTTGCTTTGTCAATATGGTGTATGTGTAGATTGATGTGGGAACAAAAGTACATTTAAGCAGTTTAGCATAAGGCAACAACATAACAAAATGTGAAAAAAATGAAGGGGTATGAATACTTTCGCAAGGCACTGTACATGCATGTGTGTGTATTTATATATACATAATAAATATACACAGTACACACACATATTATGTACACAAAACTCATTTTGGATGCGATTAATCGTTGCCCAGCACTAAAAAAATATTTATCAATGGACATGAAATGTACCCTATATTATATAATACATAATCTTTTGCAGGTCCGTATGAAATACTCCTTCAATAAGTTCTGCAAGATCGGACAAGCACCTGAAAAGTCGTGGTGCAGGAGCAGAGATTCGGTTGTGAGGCGGCTGAAAGAGCTGTGGGACCTGCTGTGTAAACTGGGCCGAGAGCTGCCTTGGCTGAAGGGCCGGCGAGGTGGAGCCCAACACCGTGGTCAAACTGGTGGATGACATCCTGAAGAACTGCAAGGCGTTGCTCATGAGGGCCGTTAGAAACTACGAACAACAACTGCAAAATGAGACCCAAACGACAGAATGCGACAAAGAGCCATCAGATTCAAACTGCTCTGATTCACCTTCCTCAAAGACTCCTGAGCTCGTGCATGCCGGTCAGGCAGAATGTGAGAATCCTCCTGATAAAGAAGCCACAGATTGTCAACTACCACC